GGATGTCATCTATCATCATACCAAATTTCAACCTTGTCGGTTTAGTATTTTTCGCGTTTGCTTGTCACAAACATCCATCCATCCATCCATACATCCATGGTTTGCACTGTAAACAAAAAGCTATCACAATAGTTCCATACCGACAAATAGGAAAAATAGGAAAATATAAATAAATATGGAAAAAGGGTAATTTTCTAACATATTTTAGTGAAATTATATAATCAGGCAAATGGAAATTCAGTCTACAGATTTGCTGTGGAAGGGGGATTATATTACGGTTTACACAAAAATAAATCAAAACATAAACCTCATAACACTCAGGAAAAGGGCCTAGGTTGATAGGGCAATGATTATAGAATCCTAATTATTTCCTATATCCATGATGAATGATTTCTTTTAAAACGAATTATTCCCACTGTTTCACAGGAAACATTTTTAACCATTGTAGTAACATCATTATAGCTTAAAAAGTTGATAGTTTACATAATATTTAGCACATTTGACGGATAAAACTTTTTTGAATTCGTCATATTATAAGTGTATGAAAATTCATATATCTGTGTATCAATATCTACTTATCTCATTTCTGTTCAATGGAAGTTATACAATTTCAATGATACCGGTACTTAAATGGGAAGTCTTACAGCTGTTATAAAACTGTGCATACATTTTATCTTACGAGTAAATTTGCTACCAATTGATATAGTATGACAATTCTATTCTACTGCAGTACTTAGAATTCTACCACTACTCACATTAAACCAACCATATTTACTTTTGGGCTAGTGATTAATTTATTGTATTAATCATACAATATAGTGAATAGTGTAGGTAGTCATTTATTTATTTCGTTTCTATGACATAGCTCTATTTTGTAGAAATCAATTATGCAATCATAACAACAGAAATACTGCATCATTACATTTTACGGTGACATAGTATTTATTTTACATATAAAAAATTTTAGCTAATGCAATAATTAGTTCAATTAGAACCATTGAATATTGAATAATTTAAACGATAATCGAAGACGAAGCGGTTGACAACTTTCAAACAGTTGACTAGGAATAGTTGCCTTCAATAATTGCAATGCGAACTGTATGCACTGAGGTCGGCAAACAGTGTTAGTGTTCACAGTGTGCAGGCACTTTGGACGTCGTGGCACTTGGACGTCGTGCAACAGTCAAATATTGATTGGACGTCGTGGCACTTGGACGTCGTGCAACTGGCAAAGGCTTTGGACGTGGTGCAAATGATACGTCTTTACAATTATATAGTGCGCTGTTTCACGACGTCCAAGTGCCACGACGTCCAAAGCTTGTAGAAAGACTATATTTTTGGCAGTTACTGTACTTTTGGACGTCGTGACACTTGGACGTCGTGCAACAACTCAAAAATTATGTTTTGGACGTCGTGGCACTGGAAAAATATTATTGGACGTCGTGGCACTTGGACGTCGTGCAACACTCCCTTAGATAGCACCCTGTAGATTCTTGCAAGTTATTTCCCTATTGGGAAATTCGGTAAAATGCGCTCATAATCAGATGTTTCGGCCCTCCAAAGTCATTCAGCAGATAGGTAGTTGAGCCAGACCCCTCATTGTGCACATTCACTCACATGCACACATTCATCCGCACATTCATTTATGTTTAAAAAATTTTATCTGTAATTGTCTGTCTTAAATATTGTATTGTTACCTATTGACAACAACAATGTGTTCTAATGGTTTTATTAAGTAAGAGGTAACTTAGTAGTTATTAAGGAGTTAGTAAGAGTTATTAAGTAGTTTGAAACTTTTGTTTCGATAAAAGTCGCCCAGACTAAATTAGGATTGGCAACGTATGGTATACTGTATAAACCTTATATTGTCAATGTTTTATATTGTCATATATTGTTATATATTGTGTTGTATATTGTGTTTTATATTGTCAAAAGCCAATGATGGAAAATTAAAAAAAATCCCCCGCCTTAGCAAACCTGCAGACTAAGCAAATTTCCATTTGCCTGATTGGATTTACACTAAAATGTCTCAATAAAATTATAACATTTATTCCCTATTTAAATAACATTAGTTTAATGAGTACTTGGGTTTGCTACAGGGAGGGTAAAAAGGTGTTTTTTTTTTGTAAAATGTAATAGTTTAGTATGAAATGAATGCATTTTCCAAATTTCATCAAAATATGTTCATAAACAAGCAAACTACAACAGTTTACTTATTCTCCATAAGAATAACATAGGTAAGAATTTAAAATTTACAGATTCTTTGAATTTTCTCTGAACCATTAGGCGGATAATAACGCTTCATTATAGTAAATTATTTGTTTTTTAAGCTCTAAAAATGGTTCAGAAAGAAATTGCTAAAGTGTTTTTGGTCAAAAATGGGAAAAACTAATTTTTACCCCATAAAACCCCCGATAAACCCCTGTTCCCATAGTCTGATCATGCTGGTTCGCAAACTTGTTTGAATAAACTTAGGTTAACTTGTTTGTACCAAATTTTATCAAAATCGGATGATTTTTGCTCGAGTTATCGCGCTAACAGACACATATATAAATATATATATATGAATTTGAATGGATGGTGTTTTTGGTCTCTAGGGACCTCAAAACGAAAAAGTAAATCGGTCCCGGGTCGAGGTCTTACCATGAGTACTAAGGTAATAGCTTATTCCCTATAGGGGAAATTCGCTAAAAGGGTAGGTAGGCCTATGTCAGCTTTCAAACATGAATCAGTAACAAAGTGAGCACCAATCTGGGACATTTGTTGAGTTGCCAAAAATGTTGCTCCCTGCATCCCTGATTTTCAGCCTATTATTATTTATAAGTTGAATTAATAGTATAATTTCATCACTAGGGCCTAAAGTTACTCTTTTTGACCTGAGGTCAACGGAAAATGAGCAAGGGTTAAAAAGTCACTTTTACCCGTGTAGTGAACTATATTTTTCGTCATATTGCATCATTAATTAACAAATAAAGCTAGAAAACCAAATGATTGTTATGTAAAGATAACCTCTCAAAACGGCTTCCAGCTTGTTTTCAATTCTGCTAATACAAATAAGCAGCTGTTTAGTAAGTGTCCATCATTTAGACTATTACGATTGTGTTACAGTCATAGAACTACAACAAGTGGAATGCCGACTCAAGCTGCGCTAAGCGCTTAGAAACGAGCCGTCCCTATTCGGCTCCCCCCACCACAAGTCAGTGTTGTGGTGCATAGTGTACTATGCGACACATGCTCCTAGCCTATGTTTCGCATCACTAGTTCACTAGCCTTATTGTTTAATTAATCACTTAATTGAAAACTGTTTAATACGATGACATGCCTGTATACTGCGTGGACATACAAATGCAAAAATTATCTTGATAGGTAAAAAAAATGTTCTGCAAACAAAATAATGTTTAATGAGCTTTCCAAAACTCACACGCATTTTTTAATAACAAGGAAATTAAGGTTAGATTAACAGGACATATCTTAAGTAACAGTGTTACTGATGCGTTAGAGTTTCTGTTAATTAGTACAAACTCTGATTTTGAATTTTGAGGAAACAATATAATTTATTCGAATTTTATACATATTATTTAATTTGATGAAGACTCTTATGACAGCTCAAAAAAATGACCCATGAGACTATATGTGTGGTTTTAAAAAAATTTGGACCAATCATATTTTTTTAGAAAAAGCAAATCCCATTGATCACTTTAAAATTTGTGATTAAAAAATTCAAAATGCTGTTGGGCCATTTAACACTAATCGTCCTCAGTAGAATAAAATGTCTCATTATTAAGAAGATTATTTAACAAGAAATACTTGAATGGTGAACAAATATGTAAGAGTCAGTATGCTAAGATAAGGGAAGTTGGTTGAGTCTTGTGAGTAGGTACCGTAAGTAAACGGGTAATTTAAGGGATCATTGTTTTATAATATACTAAAAAAACCTTCGCACCTGTTTTTTAACACGCTTTAACCTACCAAATTGTTCAGTAAAAGGCTAATTTAGTAACTTAAATTATAATTTCATCTTAGCAAACAAAGTTTCATAAGACCAGTTGGAGCTATTTTCTCTTGTATACGAGCCAGGCACGGGTGTAATAAAAACTGAAACATAGATTGATATTTACGCAGTTTATGTTTAAGAACCAAGTAAATCCATTATCATTATTATCAATATCAATTATTGAGATGAGGATTCCACCTAGGTGCGTATTTTATCCCGAATATACAAGTGGTGTGAGTAAGTTTGAGTGAATAATGAAGCGAAATGTTCTGTGTGGCATTCAATGCACAACAAACAATAAAACCTACTTGTAAAAACTAAGTGTATTTTCAATAGTGTGATAAAGAAATCATCACACAACAATAAATCACCACAATCAAGTTCTTAATAATGATGATAAAGCCTGAAAACCTGACGGAATGTGTAGGAAAACGTAACGCGCCCATTGTAATACATGGGACAGTGTCGCTACGTACACTGACTTGGGGTGGGGAGAGCCCGTCCGCGGCCGGCTCGTCGCTGCATTGAGTCAGCGTTCCATGTTTATAGTTCTATGGTTACAGTACATTATACCATCAATATGTCGAGCAATCGACAACAATAGTCTACCTAATAAATCAATCGATAAATAATTTTGATCAATATGATTGCCAAATTCAAAATTTACAACTGTATACAACAGCTGATTTTTACTCCCTAGAGAGTAAAAATGCTACCTTAGACCCACAACGCATACATTAAAACGGCTGGTTTTGCTGCAGTATGACGAAAAGTCCATTTTTTTAATTGGTGAATACATTTCAATTGAAATAAAATATACCAATTGGAAATTCAATTTGTTTGCAAGTATTTCAGTCATCAAAGCATTGGTTTATTGGTTTCATGATGGTATTCTTTCTTTCCTGAATAATGATATTGGTAGGCTATTAGTGTTTATATGCACAATGTACATCCATGTATGAATATAATACCATATTCAATTTCTGTTTTTTTTTTGTTTTTTTAGGTTTCGTGATATTTCCTGCAACAACCCAGGCACAAGGAATGAAGTTGAGGTTTTTCAAGACTCTGATTTGTATAAAAACGTTCAAGAGTTGATGCCTTCTTCTCCAAAAATCCTCAATGAGACTGAGATGGACTTGTATTTTGTTGGTAATGCTGTGTACCCTCTATTACCATGGTTGATAACACCGCACTTGGACCCAGAAGACGATGTGAAAGAATCATTCAATATTTATCTGAATACCGCTCTAGATGTAGTTCAAATTGCTTTCAACAAACTGAAAGGAAGGTTTCCATGTCTAAGTAGGAAGTCAGAGTTTCTCCATGCTACCTTACCGATGATCATTACTACCTGTGTAGTTTTGCACAATATTGTAGAAGTTTCAGAAGATGAATTTCTACCAATTTGGTATGAAAGTTTGAAGGAAGGTGAAACAAAATATCCCCAACCACCAATTTACAGTGACCAATGTCTGGAGAGTGCAGAAGGTATCACTAACAGGGAGTTTTTAACTCAATATATGGCTGACAATTTTGAATTGGTGTCACAAGTTACAGAGACACCAAGCTGAGTAAACTCTTCCAATACCTTACCTGTAAGCTATACAGTACATAGGTTTTGGATGTAACATAGAGCACAAGGCCTAGGTTTTTGGGATTTTTTGTAAGGATAGCTGGTTTACCTGAATGAGAAAGAGTCCTAACCAGCACAAGAGACAAAAAAAAAACACTATATAATATATAAAACTCTCAGTTAAAAACAACTTTATTGCACTCAGTTATTGATGGAAAGATTTAACAGTTAAATACGCTCTCTTCCTTATAGTGGATAATACTGTCAGTCAGGGACATATTTCCGAATAGACGGACTAGGCGCCCGCCTAGGGCAGCAAATTTTAGGGGCTGCAAAATTTGGGGGTTAAAAAATTAAAAAGGGGGATTTTTTTTTTTTTAAAATAAACGTTTAGCAAATAATTCTGAGAACGGCAAAACAGTAATTTGAAATATTTTAATAGAGTATAAAATTATTTCAGAACGCATTGTAAGTCAAACAAAAGTCTATAGTTTATCACACGTCTGTGCTGAGTTTTCCGTGTTGCCCTATTTGGCTGTGCTGAGTTCTCGTTTTCGAATGCCGCAGGAGCGTAGTGGCGAACGAAGAAAACACTTCCCCTTGTTTACTGCTTCATACTTCATACGCCACTACGTAGCGGCAGCGCTAGATGAAAGGTTGAAGAGTTGAAAAAAGGAAAGTGTAAACAAAATACTTACTACTGCACCAACTTAACTCATTTAAAATTGTATATTATTCTTTTAAGTAAAAGTACGTACTTTTTTCTTTTTGATTCATGCTTTTTTGTTATGAAACAGTTCTATAAGTAAACATATTTGTTTCATTTCAAAGCCAATAGCAAGTAGCATGCCTCTAAAGTGGATCTGACTTAAAGTGTTCAATGAAAAGCGTTATAAGAGCCCTTGTATACAGACGATTTTGTGTGTCGTTTCACGCCCCAAAACGTGATTATAATTACTGATTAGATAAAACACGTTGCATTCCGTGTATCAAAGTCAAAATCATATTTTGTATTAAAACGGCGCAAAAGAGTCTGTTAAAAGGGCTCAAAAAGTTATTAAATTTGTTGATGCACTATGCAATATTGCTGATTATTTTTCTACAAAATCAGCTGACAGGGCATGTATTGGCCATTGGGGTGATATTAGTGAGGTCGGGGAGTGCGCTAACAAGTTGTGGGGGGGGGGGGGGGAGGCTTCAGTAAACTTCGTTGCCTAGAGGCTGCAGATACTTAAATACGTCCCTGCTGTCAGTGACAGTGAAATATTTTTATGCTTTGTTATATAGTGTACAGTTTTGTGCCAGTTTGGACTCTTTTATTCCCATTCAGGTAAGCCTTCTATCCTCACAAAAACTCCTTTAAAATGTAGAAATTCTGAGGATGTTATTAATAGAGATGAGATTAATAGAAAAGAGTCATAGTTTGATTACTTCAGGGAGTGACAAATGAAGTTTGTAACTCTACAAGAGACAGTACAATTTGGCTGCATTCCATTATATATTCCAGCATTCAAACAATCAATGCATAACTTATATTGGAGATATTGGCAATTAATAATTAAATATATAATTAAATGTATAAGTTCAACAAAGCCAATATACAGGGTGAGTTTTAAATGAGTTCCCCCCTACTTTTTTCTACATTTCTTAAGATATCAACTCCGGACCACGTCAGATCATTGTAAAGTAGTAAGTACTACATTTTGACTGGGTATAAATTTTTGGCCGCCATCTTGGATCCGCCATATTGGATACAAAGTTTTTTTTTTCAAATGTAAAGGTAGGGTTGTGACCCATTAATCCAAACTAAAATTTTACGCTGATTACAATGCCGCAAATAGTTTTAAAAAATCTTGATCCGTTCTAAAGTTATAAGGACTTTTTATAACTTTATTTTTAGCGCATTTTAACATTGTGCATTTACAAACTAAGACCATAATCTAAAAATAGTGCTAGATAAAGATAAGTATACACCACCATTCATTGTCGACCTATTTTCACTTGGTTATGACGGATGTATTTTTCTCGGCCGCCATCTTGGATCCGCCATTTTGAAATGTGAAAAATTAATTTAAATATGAAGGTGGTGTTGTGACCCATCATTTTCATTTACTTTTTTATGCTGAACTCAATGCCGCAATTCGTTTTTGGTTATCAAGCTTTCTTGATGAAATATTAAAATGATCTTATTTAAAATTTCAATAATTCAACAACTAAACTTGCAAATGAAAAACTGATTGCGGCATTGAGTTCAGCATAAAAAAGTAGTTGAAAATGATGGGTCACAACACCACCTTCATATTAAAATTAATTTGTCACATTTCAAAATGGCGGATCCAAGATGGCGGCCGAAAAAAATACATCCGTCATAACCAAGTGAAAATAGGTCGACAATGAATGGTGGTGTATACTTATCTTTATCTAGCACTATTTTGAGATTAAGGTCTTAGTTTGTAAATGCACAATGTTAAAATGGGCTAAAAATAAAGTTATTAAAAGTCCTTATAACTTTAGAACGGATCAAGATTTTTAGAAACTATTTGCGGCATTGTAATCAGTGTAAAATTCCTGTTTGGAATAATGGGTCACAACCCTAAAACCTTTACATTTGAAAAAAAACTTTGTATCCAATATGGCGGATCCAAGATGGCGGCTAAAAATTTATACCCAGTAAAAATGAAGTACTTACTACTCTACAATGATCTGACGTGGTCCGGAGTTAATATCTTAAGAAATGTAGAAAAAAGTTGGGGGGGAACTCATTTAAAAATCACCCTGTATAATAATTTTATTTATTATTAAACAATGCATGTTAAATATGCTAAGCCAATATAACTTTTATTGCAATGTGTTCTTCTAAATCTTTAAGCTATTTTGCCTTATTTTCATAGTATGTTTTAAATAATGTATGACATATGAGGCTGGTCTATTTGTATATACCCATTTAATGCAATGTTTCTTTTAACTCAACTATTTGTATTTCATGTGAGAGAAGCATCGATCTCTATTATTACAAATGGATCGCGCGCTGTACTGCTGAGAGATACGCACGTATCGGTCCGCCGCTCCCCCCACCACGTAAGGTTGTTACTGTCTCTCTCTTACTCATTACGTCTTATGGCGTTTCCACGTTTGCACTCACAAAATGCGCTATATCTCTGTTCATAGTGGCTCGATTGTCAATTTCTTTACACAGTTGTAATCTGCATGAAATTGCGAAGATTATGGTATATGTTTTATATTAAAATAACTCTTTTAGCGAATTTCCCTATAGGGAAGTAGCTATTACCATAGGTGGCACGGTAAGACCTAGACCCGGGACCAATTTACTTTTTCATTTTGATGTCCCCAGAGGCCAAAAACACCATTCGTTCAAATTTTTATATATGTATATATATATATATATATATATACGTCCGTGAACTTGAGTAATTTTGGTCCGATTTTGATGAAATTTGGTTTAAAGGTGTAAACTTGAATGAGTTCGCGAACCAGCATGATCGGACCATGGGAACGGGGCTTTATGGGGGGTTTTATTGGGTAAAAATTGGTTTTTCTCACTTTTGACCCTCAAAACACAAAATTTCCCAATTTCTCTTTAGACCTTTTTAAAGAGCTTAAAAAAACAAATAATTTAGTATATAAAAGTATTTTTGTTCGGTTATTAGTAACGGAGAAAATTAAAAAAATTTTAAATTTAAAATTCCCATGTTATGCTTATGGAGAATATTGTCAAATGTTGTAGTTTGCTTGTTTATGGATATAGTACCTGGGGACCGAGCTTTGCTCGGGAAAATCATTAGTTTGCTCTGAAAGCAGTCTTAGTATTGCAGATACATAAATCCATTCCCAAACTCTACACTGCTCGCCTTTACTACTTCCTTCAGCGCTCCCTACGTCGTGCACCTGTTTCCCTCCCTTCCCATTGCATATTAGGATTGCAGATACATTAATGTAATTGCCACAGACAGTTCCCACGCTCAGCACTGCTAGCCTTACTTCTTCCTTCACCACTTCCTACGAAGAGGACCTTATTCCTCCCTTCCCATTGCTTTTAAAAATTGCAGATACCTTAATCTAATCATCATAAACAGTTCCCACACTCGAGACAGCTCAGCTTGACTACTTCCTACACCACATCCTACGTCTCGAGCTTGTTTTTCTCCCTTCCCATAGCATTTTAGAATTGGAAATATCTTAATCTAATCGTCATAAACAGTTACCACACTCCGGCCAGATCACCTTGACTACTTCCTTCACCACTTCCTACGTCGCGGACCTGTTTTCTTCCCTCCCCATAGCATTTTAGGATTGCAGATACCTTAATCTAATCGTCATAAACAGTTCCCACACTCGAGACAGCTCGCTTTGACTACTTCCTTCACCACTTCCTACTTCGCGGACCTGTTTTTAGCGAATTTCCCTATAGGGAAGTAGCTATTACCGTAGGTCTCATGGTAAGACCTAAGCCCGGGACCGATTTACTTTTTCATTTTGATGTCCCCAGAGGCCAAAAACACCATTCGTTCAAATTTTTATATATCTATATATAGAGATATATATATATATATATATATGTGTCCATCCGCACGATAACTTGAGTAATTTTTGTCCGATTTTGATAAAATTTGGTTTGAAGGTGTAAGGCGGGATAAACTTGAATGAGTTCGCGAACCAGCATGATCGGACTATGGGAACGGGGGTTTATGGGGGGTTTTATGGGGTAAAAATAGGTTTTTCTCATATTTTACCCTAAAAACACAAAATTTCACAATTTCTTTTTAAACCATTTTGTAGAGCTTAAAAAAACAAATAATTTAGTATATTGAAGCGTTATTATGCGCCTAATTGTTACGGAGAAAATTCAAAAAATTGTAATTTTAAAATTCCCATGTTATTCTTATGGAGAATAAGTCAACTGTTGTAGTTAGCTTGTTTATGAACATATTTTAATCTAATTTGGAAAATACATTAATTTCTTACTAAACCACAGTACCTTTTAATATTTTACATAAAAAAAACTTTTTTACCCTCCCTGTTGCAGCAAACCTAAGTACTCATTAAACTAATTCTGTTTTAATAGGGAAAAAATGTGATATTTTTAATGAGACATTTTAGTTTAAATCCAATCAGGCAGATGGAAATTCGCTAAGTCTGCAGGTTTGCTGCAGCAGGGGTATTATCCTCCCTTCCCATAGCATTTTAGGATTGCCAATACCCTTATCTAATCGTCACAAACCGTTCCCACACTCCGGACTACTCGGCTTGACTACTTCCTTCACCACTTTCTACGTCGCGGACCTGTTTCCCTCCCTCCCCCTAGAATTTTAGGATTGCAGATACCCTAATCTTATCTTCATAAACAGTTCCCACACTCCGGACAGCTTGCCTTTACTACTTCCTTCATCACTTCCTACGCCACGAACATGTTTCCCTCCCTTCCCACGGCATTTAAGATTGCAGATACCTTAATCTTATCGTCATAAACAGTTCCCACACTCCGGACAGCTTGCCTTTACTACTTCCTTCATCACTTCCTACGTCACGAACCTGTTTCTCTCCCATCCCAAGGCATTTAGGATTCCAGATACCTTAATCTAACTGTCAAAAATAGTTCCCACACTCCGGAAGACTAGTCTTGACTACTTCCTTCACCACTTTCTACGTCGCAGACCTGTTTTCCCTCCTTCCCATATTATTTTAGGATTGCAAATACCATACTCTAATCGTCATTAACAGTTCCCACACTCCAGACAGCTCGCTTTGACTACTTCCTTCACCACCTCCTACGTCGCGGAGCTCTGTTTCCCTTCATTCCCATAGCATTTTAGGATTGTATATACCTTAATCTAATCGTCATAAACAGTTCCCACACTCCGGACTACTCGCCTTGACTACTTCCTTCACCACTTCCTACGTCACGGACCTTTTTCCCTCCCTTCCCATAGCATTTTAGGATTGCAGATACCCTAATCTTATCGTCATAAACAGTTCCCACACTCCGGACTGCTTGCCTTTACTACTTCCTTTATCACTTCCTACGTCACGGACCTGTTTCCCTCCCTTCCCACAGCATTTTTTGATTGCAAATACCATAATCTAACTGTCGTAAACAGATCCAACACACCGGACA